AGAGGGCCTCGGCGGGGCGCTTTTGGCCTTTCGTATGAGGCCTCGGCGCAAGGCCTCAAGCGAATCGGAGAATTTTGTAGAGACCTGGCGGTAGTCTTTTGGCTTTGATTTTTGCAAGGCCTAAGCAACATTTTTTGTTCTTGCTTAGGGTACCCCTTCTTGTGGTATCCGACACTATTAGTCCTATTTATATGTTTAGGAGTGTTATTTTGATTCAGAACACGGACATTATTATGCGATGTTGCATGTTGGACTAACAGAGCTGTCCATGTGAGAAGATGATGTAAAAAACCAAAAATTTGAGACAGTTAACAGTAGTAACCTTGTGCTAAGAAATCTGTGGCAGTATGCTTGCGTGCATACATATAACTATACAAGTTAGCTGTTATGACGATGTGACTTTCTGTTTGATGACTCTGGAGCTACGGATTGGGTCTCGTGGAGGAAAAAAAAAAAAAAAAAAGAAAAGGCCATCTGGCCAGCTCAGAGATGACCTTTTCACAATTCGACGTGCAGGACTTCAGCTCGATGAGAGGGGCACTCGAGTCTCAACTCACGTGGTGTCGATTAGCTGACTGTCGGGCGCAGCGCCGGTCCTAGGATTTTAAGGGTCCTCTGAGGATCTCGTCGTAATGGCTCCTCTATAAAATCTTATAATATATATGCGTTAATTTTACTTACAAAACGAAAGCAAATTCAATAACATATTTTTAATTTAATATGTCTGATAATTATCGAGGAACAATGTAGATTAAACAATATATTTGTAGATGTATGATAATTATCGAGGAACAATGTAGATTAAAAAAGCAATATATTTGTTTTTTTCTCATTCATGACAAATGTTTCTTATGTAACATTCTAAAATTCTAACACCTAAATTAGAAGAAAAATATGACTATATGGGTACAAAGTACTAGAAGTCTAGAATACTATAAAAATAATTAATTTGGATTAAAAATAAAAAGAAAAAAAATACCTTGGGCCTAAACAATTGATCAGTGATCGCAATTCATAAGAAGCCAAGAATCAAGATGTCGTCGTCGTGGAGCCCTGTCTGGTCATCGTCCTCATGCGCTGTGTCTGTGTCTCCGATAGTCTAGCTGTTGGGTTCATAAACCCGGGGTTCCTCATGGACCGGCTTCCCAATAAAGACTCGGCCCAACAGACAACGTTGCGAGCAACGCGCAACTCATTGGCCGGCTCAAATACATAGACGACAGGCCAGAAGGACGATACAATCTCCAATCGGAAGGCATGGCCGACGAGGAACGGCACCCGCTTCTGACTCCGACCCACCTCTCCGATCGGAGCACTCGCTTTGGTCTCCAGCCCGCCTCTGGGCGGCTTCTCTGACCGGAAGGCCTGGCCAAAACACCACCTCTGACTCCGACCCACGTCCTCGACCGGGGATGCGCCGAACCTCTGCTCACAGCTCTTCTTCGACTGGCGCAATCAGAGCCGACTAGGACCAACCGATCGGGGACACCCGCTCGGTAAGGACCAGGAAACGGACGGAGAAACGTAAAGCAGGGCGCACAAGTCAAACCGCAATACCAGGGACCGTACCCTACACACCTGCCAGACAGTACCCTGCGACCCTCCTGGCACGACAGAACCCAAGCAGTGTTGTAGGCGCTGACATTTTCCGTAACAGTGTTGTGGGCGCCATCAACTCCTATACCAGACAAATACGGTAAGGCTCCCCCCACGTGCCTCTGAGGCATCAATAGTGTTGTGGGCGCCGGCATTTACCATACCAGGCGAACATGGTAAAACCCCTTGCATACCTCTGGGTATCAACAGTGTGGCAGGCATCGACATCTGCCATACCTGAAAAAGACGACGCAACCCCCACGTGCATGTGACGTTAAACAGTGTTGTGGTCGCCTACCATCATCTTGTACCCGCCGGCATGGGCAACAAGACTTAGTAGCATACACACTCTCTCCCTCTCACTTGTAAAGACATCCCCTTCATCTATAAAAGGGGATGCGCTCTCTCCCAAACAGATAGATTCATCAGTTCATTCAGATCGATCAAGTTCACTAGTACACAACAACAGAACCACCAGGTTTAAACCTTGAGCACACGCTCAAACACAAAGCACATAGCGGAGTTCCTGTCACTCTCGGCCCCTCTGACCAGAGTTCGATCGGACCTCTTGTACCCCCCATCTATCTTTTTCTCGTTTGTAACCCCACTGCAAACTTCGAGCACCTGGGCTCAATAATAAAGTCACCGACCGACTCAAACTGGACTTAGGGCACGTTGTCTGAACCAGTATAAACCCTGTGTCATTGAGTGCTAGGCCACCTTCGATCACAACGTATGGCAAAACTACAAATATTTATGTGTTGGTCACTTTCTGCACCGACACTAGCTCTTCGCGGCGGCGCGGCTCGCCAGCTCCGCGTGTGTAAGGCGCACGTCGCAAACTCACGATCAGAGTGTGATGTGTGCAGCGTGACTCCTCGCCTCCTCTCTACCCGAGGGCCATGGAGAAAGGAAACTAGAAAAGAAATGTCGATGCTGTCTTTTTGGGCCGCCTGGCCAGTTCTATGTCTCTTTTCTTATTAGTTTGCTAATACCTAATGGACTATAGGATCTGGGGGTTTGTATACTAGGCTTGGGCCCCTTCTCCGATTGGGCCCTCGGCCATCGCACCTCATGCCCTACCCCTAGGGCCGGCACTGGTCGGGCGCGTCCATAAAGGCGTAAGAGAATGCTCACACCGTTTGCGTTGGTGTGGAATGGCCTTAATAGCACGAAGTCACCATGACAAAACTAATTGGTCACGACCCTCCGAGGAAAAAAAAACTAACTAGTGACAACAAGGTCTACATGGTACATCACATACGATTCGTCCATAGCCAACCCAGAGCATAAATATGTTATAGCATATGCTTGTGATCTTGCGCCTTTGCTTGTCTCATATTGTTGTTCGGTTTGGGGTCTGCTAAATACCATCGTTAGTATGTTAGGCATATGATGTTAGTCCTATGCAAAATATCATTGTTGGGATGTTAGAGAAAACTGATATGGGTTTGTGGTTATATATGCCAAACAATCAGAGGAGGAGCTGGATATTACTCTCTCCAATACCATTTATCAGGCGCAGGAGAACAAATCTTAGATACCAAGGAGAGCTGAGAGAACGAGGAAGAGTATTAAACAGCGCCACATGCCAAGCTCACTCATGCCATGTTGCAGCCGAGCATTGGTTATCCATTTTGATGCATTAACTGCAAGCAAGTAGCGGTGACTGTTCAGCTTCTATCCGCCAGTTAATGCGAATCACAATTTCAAGCAAGTAGCGGTGACCGTTCTGCGTAGTATTCGGATCACAGTATGATTCCCAGAATCAATTCCTATCTTCTTGCATCTCATAAGCTAAGCTCCCGAAACATAGGCTACCGAAGCAAGATATAGACAAATTGCTAATTCTTGGTGTAATATTTTCCAAACGGCAATGTAGTTGTCATTCGGAAAAACACCGATATAAAATTTTATTATCTGATGGCCTTTTTGGCCAAGATCGCTTAATACAAATTTAGGTGGGGAAACTCCCCTGGTTGACATTCAAAACAAATGTGAATCACGATTTTTAGGAGATGCCTTATGTTGTACATATATTCAGAATTGCGCTCGCGCCTAAGAAATGATACCGGAGGAAGTAGTGTTCTACTCTTTGTCTAGAGGCTATTCGACTTTGAATGTTTTTGCGGACACAAACAAAAGATTTTGATCAAGCAATTAGTTTACAAAATCATTAATTAGTTTTTTTGTTTGGTCCTCTCAACCAAACTATTGTTGTAAAACGACCTCTTAACCAAACTCTCGTAAAATGCACGAATTATTTTGTCCAGTCCTTCTAACTAATCTTGTGTTGTAAATTTTATAAATATTTAATCTTTATTTCAAAATTTATGTAATTTTTAAGATTTAGTTATTTTTGTTCGTTGCTTATGTACACATTTAACACATTTCGTCTTCAAATTATGTATTTTATTTATATTCATGTTCTGTCTTTCACCCTTCAAATATGTGTTTTGAAGATTATACATCTTCTATGACAATTCTCGGTGGTGGTATTATAGGATAGAATTGTTTCCACTAGCTATTCTGAAATCTTCTAATTTCTTGTCCATCACCCATCCCACCATGCCTCACTCTCCCATTTCCGATTCTGAGAAAAACTCAGTTTTATTTATGCCTAATAATATTGAAAGGAGAAAAGTTTTCTCCTCTAATTTCCATCTACAGGCGTTTCAAATCAAAATCTAAAACAATCCAAATCCACACGAGACCAAGTTTCCAACAGCACGCATCTAACCACATTCCGCTCACAGGTGTTTCTAATCCAAATCTAAAACAATCCAAATCCACAAAAGACCAAGTTTCCAATAACACGCATCTAACTATAATCAGAATACACACGAGACCAGGTTTCCAGCTCGTGTTCTCTAACAGCACGCGTCTAACTACAATCCAGATCCACACCAGACCAAGTTTCCAACAACACGTGCTTAACCACAGCACGGAGTCCGGTTCGAAGACATTAGAACATATTAAAATCTACAACAATCCAAATCCAACACAAGACCAATTTTCCAACAGTGCACGTCTAACCATGGTATGATGTCTGATTCAAAGACCTATTAGAACAATTGATGCAATTGTTGCATCAATCTCCGAATCACAAGTCGTCCATATGATTGCACAAGCTATACGTTTCACTGTAACACAGCATGTTTGCTAGTATAAGGCGAATAGGCGATAATATGTACATGCAAGCTCAGCAGAAATCCATTATCGGACAACAATGGCTTTATACATCAGTTGCTCCGGCGTGGCTGACACAAGGGTAACAGTTCAGGAGAAACAGACACCACTAACCCACCCAAAGAAGGCCCTCCCACAGAATAAGGTTCATAAGCGCTTCCCCCTGATCATGTATGTCACTGGAAATACTGATAATACATTATCTTCCTATTTATTCAGCCCTTCAATGAGTATTTCTTTCCTGTAAATGCTGTGAATTTTGGGTCTTCTTTCTTGGGCTCCTCTGCTTCCTTTTCAGGTGCCTAAACATTTAATGCAAAATGGAACATCAAAGCCGAGTCCCATAAGGTAATCACTTCCACATTATGTGTAGATGGACTCAAAGAGATCAAAATGTTGTAAAGACCAACCTTTTCGGCTCGGCTTCCACCAGAGCCAAAGACAAGTTTTCCTGTGGTCTTGCGCGATGAACTTCCCTGTGATGTGGTGGCTGTTGAGGGCTGCACACCATTGGTCGCATTAGCTTGACGCTTTGCAGGGGATGGGGCCAGCACATCTTTATCTTTGGAAGGCTTCCCATCCAAGCGCCTTCCTGAACCAGTGAAGGGGATGAACTTTGGTTCTTCTTCAGCTGGAGCCTCTGCACACCAAAAAAACGCAAAAATAATTTGAATGACAAAAAAAACATATGTAGAACAGTAATGGCACCCAGTGATGTATAGGACAAGAGTATTACCAGTAGTAGGTTCTGTGATTGCAGGAACAGAAGGTTTTACTGGCTCGGGTTCTTTGTAGTCAAGTGGTGGAGCAAAGTCAACCTCACAGTCAGTCTCAATAATACTTATAGCATTGGAGGGTTTTGTCTCCACTATATCAATGTAGTACTTCTTGTTATTATACGCTACCATAATGCTGTCACCTGTAGTTAGACAAGAAAAGTTCCGCAAAGTTTTCTCCAAGCTGCAAGAATGACACAAACAGGTCATTAATGTTCTTGAGGGATTCAATCGCTACTAATACCATGTAACCCTAGTCAGAATACAGCAGTCATATGGGAAGGGAAGGGTAAAAGGATGTTTTCACTAGGATAAGAAATAGTTAATGAAAAAATACTAACATTGCCTTGGGATTTGAAATATCTAGAAAGTCTGTTGTATGAGGCTGCAACTTCACATATGTGCCCTTGGGGAGGTTGGCGTTTTTTATGAACACCATATCTCCCTCTTGCAGAAGAAGATTTTGCATCATCTGAAGACCACATAAAGTTAGCTTTGTTGACGTGATGATATAATAAAGAAGTGCAACAGTATCCTAGATCTTGACATACCCAATATGGCATGTAGATCATGCCTTCTTCTGCAATGAACTCCAGAACACCACAATGTGAAGTCCGTTCTGCTGCTGCATTGTGAACTTCAAATAGCATAGGGTATTCAATATGCAGAGATGCTGCAGAGAAACCAATTTTTTTTTCAGAATTGAGAACTTATTGAGAAAACAGTGTGGAAAAAATTGTCAAAAACATGGAAGATGAAGTATCATTGTGCATGTCAAAGATGAGAAGTAACAAATGTGCCTAACTTACCGAGACGATCAAGAGCTGACGGTGGCATTATAACTGGGAAGAAGCAAAATAATAATCCTGTAAGCTTCCGATGGCAACTAAAATAGATACAGAGCTCAGAACTCAAAACTCAGGGAACAGAGAACATACTTTTGTCACCAGCCTCAAGCTGTGGCTGCAAAAAAGGTAAAAGATCTTTCACAATAAATTCCAAAAATGCAAACTAAAATATTATTTTAAAAGATACTCCCTCCATCTCAATTCCCAAATTATAAGTCACTTAGCTTTGTCCTAAGTCAAACTTCTCTAATTTTGACCAAGTTTTTAGAAAATACATTAACAGCTACACGCTCAAATAAATGCACTATCAAGACATTTCATGGAGAATTTTAACGAAATAATTTGATGTTGTAGATGTTGGTCCATTTTTTCTATACACTTAGTTAAAGCTAGAGAAGTTTGATTTAGGAAAAAGCTAAACTGACCTATAATTTGGAACGGGGCTGTAGTAATTATTCTAGCATTAGACATACAGAATTTACTGCAGGATGCAATTCTGTTATCATAACATTAGAAGCTTAACAGTAATTTTGTGACATCCTTTAGAAAGGCAAGAGTCAACAAACATGCCAACAAGTCGCTACTACAGCTTAGCTACTGATAATGTAAAGATATTTTACTTGTTCAATTTGCAAGTCATTTTTATAAGAAAAGAGAAGTTCCTCGCTCACAATCAAATGAAAATACACATTTGAACCCAACCTTTGGAACATGCTACATATGCATACGGCAAAAGCAACTCATATGGAATAATAGAGTTGATTGCAGTATCTCATAACGAACTACTATCTCATATAGTCATAGGTGCCATGAAACTTGGCACAGCATGAAACCATGACATGGAACACAGCATATTCAACTAGAAAACATGGCACCTCATCTCATTTAGATTTACAAACCTTGTCAATGAAGGATGCAGGATAGCAGCGATAAGTCTGCTCGAAAGTACTTCCACGGAAGCCATAGCCTTCGAAGTACTACTCATGATGAACAAATGTATGAGAATTGAGGACACAACAGTGTGGTTGAGCAACAAATGAAATAAGTAACTTTTTTGTTGAAAATCTGCACGTGTGAAAGAAGACAGGTGACAGCTCACAGCAACTATTTTAGTTTATGAATATCGACGACATACTTGCTACATGAAAGAAAGTATATCTTGGTTCAGTTCTACAATCAAATGCTATCGTATTGGCCAAGCAAGTATAGAGGGAAGACTTTGTGGATCTGAACTCACTGCTGCACATGAGACAATGATGTAGACCTTGAGGAATAATCTCTTGGCATTGTTAAACTGCTCAGTTCTATCATCTACTTCCAAGTGGGGGAAGGCGTGTATACCAACTACTTACATGATTCCATAGACGAAATTCTCCAGGCCTATAGGTCGCATTGTTCAAAAAAGATAAGAAGAAAAACATAATTTTAGCTAGTACTTACCATTGTTTCCAACCAGAAGGTTAACCTCTTCTACTCCCTAGAATATGAGGGGGAAAGAGAAAATAAATTAAATGATGCAGACAAGACAGACATACAATACTAGGCGCTCGAGGTATCGAGCATAGATCACAGCTGCAAAAGCAATTGCATTCAGACTTTGGATCACAGATGCAACATCACAAAATAGAATTAACATTCACATTAAGGATATCGCCTGTTCGCAAACTGCTCATGGACATGATGACAACCATTTATGGAGGTATTAAGGTACATGTGCCATGGACCCATGGTATAGTCAGTTGTTTTAAGTCCAAGGAAATTTGATGGGAAAACGCAAATCAAAATTCGAGGTCCAAATACTAATCGGCATGGCAACAACAATATACTGATACAGCTTTCTGCACAGCGTGTTGACTTAACAGTAGTTAACTTGTTACTTGAACTGTTGAACAAATAGACAATAGTAGGCTGCTAGCAGGGACAGGAGCTGACCCGGTAAGGACATGGGGGTGCAAACATGTACACCCGATAATTTTTGCACAACAATCGAAGTTAGTAGGCATAATACATGCATATACACTTGTAAGTAGATCAGATCCGAATACAAACAGTAAGCTAGGGTTTGGGTGCTCGGTTGCGCACATCAGGAAGGGAAGACCAGAGAGCGGGCGTACCTGGTGGTGCTCGTCGCGGCTCAGGGGGCGAAGAAGACCTGGGCGTAGGGCGGCAGCGACGGCGGCCCAGTCCGTCTCCACGAGAGAGAGGGAGGGGCAGAGGGCGCGCACGCTGGGGGTAACGGAAGAAACGAAGAGTCGAAGAGTGCGCTGGGGGAAAAGGAAAGGCAGAGGGGGTAGGTGCAGAGGGGCGCAGGGCAAAATGGTTAGAAAAAATGGGATTAAAGATCGAAATCGGATATTTTAGTCAGATAATGAACTTTTTACCGGATATGAATACAGATTTGAATACGAATACAAAACAAATAGTTCAGAATCAAATTCATGTTCATATCTACTCGATTTAGATGATATCAATCTTCATTCTACCGATACTATTCCTAAAATCTCGTAATATAAGAGAGGTTGTTCGTGCAGATCTTCTTAGGATTTCTTTTTCCCTTTTTTTAAGGTCTCTTAAAATATACATTCCTTTCCGTCAAAAGAAAAGAGTTCTTTTAGAGTTAATATAAAAATCTACCTCCCCTCCGTGAAGAAAGGAGATATCGAGACCTCTCCTATCCATGTGTCCCACGCCGAGCCACCCGCAACCGCCCGTGCCATCGGCCATTGTGCACGCTTCGCGCCTTCACAACACCCCCTTCGTTGTACTCACTGGATCGTACGACCGTACCTCACGCTACCGCCCACCGGTCATCAGTCGAGCCACGTGCCACTAGCTACCCGTCCATTCGAAGCCACAAAGGAGTGTGGTGTAGGGAGAAAAAAAGAAAGAAAAATATATTTGATCAAGACGTGGCACCACGTGTAAAAATGGATGTACGTATGAGTTTTGAGTAATCTATTGCAACACAACACCTATATACTGAAATTGTTTTTAGCACTCCTTTATACTAAAATTGCTTTTGAGGGATCTCCTGTAACCCTAAGGAATAAGAAATAAGATATCTGGTGAAGTTGATTTAAGATCTCTTTTGCTTATATTATATATTCAAATATTGGTAAAAGTCATATAATGCATCCAATTCCTATATATTAGTTTGCAATGTGATAATGGGGTGCGTGTGCATGCGGCATACCAGGCAGTCCAGCCGCAATACAACGTAGTATTACTATGTAAAACAAATTCTGTTCAATCGATGCCTCACACCCGCACACTCCCCTGCCTGTTCACTAGAAGTTTCGGCTTCCGCGCAGCACGCGTGCGAAGTAGTTCCATCACGCGAAGGCTGCCCTAGGGATATTGACACGGATAAGCAGATAGGTTCAAAATTTAACCTTCTTATTTTTCTAAGTAACTTATGTACTTAATTAATTATATATCTGTAATTTATTTGCATATCTACGAGACTATCGAGATCACTAGATTAGGGATCAGAAATATGTAATTCATCCAGTATTAGTATATTAGTCCAGTATTAGTATATTAGTTGTCGGTGTTTCGGACCGAGGGTCCTCAACCAACTAGTGAATTTGAACTGTGTGTCCCTAATTCTGGATGGTGATGCAAAGAGACACAAGGTTTATACTGGTTCAGGCAATCGGTGCCCTACGTCCAGTCTGAGAGATCGATCTTGTATTCATTGCACCGAAGTGCTTGTAGTAGGGGGTTACAAGCTGGGCGAGAGAGGGAACTAGCCCCAGGTCTCTGCGTGGAGTGGTGCGGGCTGCTTGAGACGTTGCTCTCAAGCAGCGGGGGAGCGTGTATCTGAATCTACGTGAGTCTATGCGAGTGCTCGTCTAACTTTCTCCCTCCTCTAGAAACAACCCCGGCCTCTCCTTTTATAGTTGAAGGGGGGACAGGGGCGATACATGCGTTTGCTATGCAGCGTCTTGTAAGCGGAGGCGGTGTGTCTGAGTCCTGTAGCTTGCTACTGTGGTGGCATGGTCAACGGAGTGGTCTTATCCTTGATGCACTGGAGCAACGCGTCGGTCACACCCGATCTTGTGCGACGTGGGAGCTCCAGTGACAGCTTGGCGCAGGGTATGGCCATCGTCGTGCCAGTCGCTGTGCGTTGACAGTGAAAAGAGCCGATGCTCAGTTGGTGCCGAGGCCAAACAATCGTGGGGGGCTCGGCGGGCGCAAATCCCAAGGCTGCCGAGCCCCTGAAGTGGATTGTCGAGGCTTGTAGGGAGCAGTTGGTCCTATACACTGATTCCGAGCCTACGGTGACCCGGACCTGACTCCTCACGCCGCGCTGTTCCTGGAGCAGGGATTAGGTGGCACAATGTAGTACGGGCACCAGTCATGGGCGCAGTGCTGAGCACAGTGGCCAGTAACCCCTGCTCAGTCCTGTCTCCCGTCCTGTCGGCCGCTCTACTGCACTGCGTCGACGTGCGGCTGACGTTACGGGAGTGGTTGGATGCGTGATATTTTGTCAGAGAAGTCGGTCGAGGCGGAGGTGACGAGGTTGTTGCCGAGCTAGCCTCGAGCGAATCGGAGAATCGGTAACCCGTCTGAGGCCTAGCGGGGCGGGGCCTCGGCGAGAGGGCCTCGACGAGAGGGCCTCGGCAAGGCGGAGGGTTGGCCTTTCGCTCGAGGCCTTTGCGGCGTAGGCCTCGGGCGAATCGATGAATCAGCCGAGACCTCGTGGTTGTCTATTGGCTTGAATTTTTGCAAGGTCTGAGCAATCTTTCCAGTTCTTGCTTAGGGTACCTCTTTTTATGGTATCCGACATTAGTAGTTTGTGAGCTTTATCTGCATTTAATAGACTGTCATAGGTATTTTTGATGATATGACGATGTTTTTAAGGAGATAGAGAAGAAATAAGTTTCATCTAGATGATAATCTCTGGATATGATTAAAATCCCTCTGTTAGATTCAAAATACGTTTTCTTCTTTTGAAAACGTAGTTTCCTCGGTTAGATCAAAATACACTTTCATCTATTTACAGTTTTGATACTAATCTTGTCTTAGCCATAAAATCTTTATTTTAACTCTGATTTGACTCGTTCAAGTTGCGTTAGATTCGTAATTGCGTAATCTACATATTTATCCCTACTGTTAAATATATTTTCAACTTTTGAAATTCGAGGTTAGATTTAATCTATTATTTTATTAAAGAAAATCTTGTTTAATTCATAACCTTTTCGTTATAGCTCCGATTAGAGTGCTTTTCGCGTCTGTGTGTTCATAGCGAGATGTAGATTCATTTTATAAACTTTCATCTTGATTTTTTGTTTAGTGTACTGTTCTAATTTAGATCTATTATTTGCTTCGTGTATGATTACATGAATGTTTGTGTAGTGCTTTATGATCATGTCCAGTCAGTGAGCTTTTGCGTTGGTGATATAAAAAAAGTTGGTGAACCAGAAGAAGTCCTTCGGAGGTTACAATTCAATAGAAAAGAATTTGAGTTTAAGACAAGTATAACATGGGATCTTCCTTATTTTTCTATTCACCTTAATATCATTTTAATCATATGCATGTGTCTACCTTGGCAACCATAGTAATTTTCTTAGCTATTTGATATCCTGGATTTCTTGATTCCTATGGGTTATTGCATTGGGTAGTATGATGCTAGTGCTCAAACTAAAGCCATGATCTTGTAACTTGACTAATGGATTATGCAATAAATATTAAAATATGCTTTTTAGCAACATGAAACAAGGGGGCTAGAGCATTGGGCTATTTTATGGTGCTCTAGATTTCTCTCCCTAAAGACTTATCTGTAAGCGAACATCCGGGACTTACAGTACAACTGTGAGGGCTACGTGGCTCTGACTTTAGCTCAATATGAGGACCTTTTCTAGCTTGTTAGTGGTTACCTTTATGGCACAAGAGGGGCTTCGACAGGTATGATCTCGGCCTGCCAAGAGGGTGCACTTTGGTTTCTTGGTATTTTGTTAGTCACTCCTTGGAGGGGGTTCATGTTTATTGATGGGGAAACCGTAGCGACCCTAACTTACTGGACGAACCTTTGAAATACTTTATAGTAAACCCTGCCGATCTTTCTTGGTAGTGGGTCAAGAGGTTCGTCGTCTCGGGTGAAAGGGTAAATCACGACTCACAGTGAAAAGTGTACCACCTCTGCAGAGTATAAAACTGGTATATCAGCCGTGCTCACAGTCACGAGCGGCCTTAGACCCTTACGGAATAGATGATAAAAACTGATGATACTGATGATGAAGATGCTCACTAATGATTATTGTTTATGCTATTCATTATTCATGTTATCTGATCATGTGTTTATATGAGCTTGTGGATAAACTTGTTGCCACCCTATTGCTAAAATCATGACTCATTAAAAGCTAATCGCAGTTAACCAGTGTCAGCCTTTTGAGCCTCATGAACCCCATGTTATATTTGTTGAGTACGATATATACTTACGCTTGCTTTACTTTTTAAATCTTTGAAAAAATCCCAGATGAGTACCAGATTGCTAGTCTGGAGGAGTTAGGCTTGTGATCAACCAGTTAGTTATCCCTGTGAATTGGAGTCTTCACCCGAAGATCGAAGTTGTCTTTCTGCTGTTTACTGTCTAAGGTTATATCCTTTATACTAAGTACGTTATATATTGAACATTGTCTTTTGATATTACCCTTATTTATAGCTATATGTGAGATTTGACTTTCTAGCTTCACATATGGTGCGTATCTAGTTTTGTTCTTAAAACCGGGTGCTACAAAGTGGAAATGAGTATGAAGTTAAACTTTTTAATGAGAGTGAGCTTTCGTCCATATTGTTTTAAGTAGATAGAGATAACATAATCGATACTATCATCTCCTATAAAAAGTGGCAAGTAAAAATGCAAGTAGTATACTAAGTCTCCTTTTTGCCTATATTTTGAATTATTAGTATTGCAATTCAAGTATTTATATTGTAATTCATTGTAGTTTCCTGTTTAATATTTGAATTTAGGACCTATTATGTTATTTAGTCCTTTTTACCAAATTTTATTGTAAATTTACTATTATTTATGGAATAAATAAATGATTTACCAAATCGTATATGAAAAATTTTGTGCTCCATACCCTATGATTAAATCTAGGTCCGCCATGACTTTGTGTGAATATAAACGTTCTAGTTTTTTATGATGTGGCTTATACTCACGTCAACAATTACACACACTATTCATCTAAACAGTCGTTTTATGTGTTTAAACAACGTCTAAACCGAAAATTGAGGCCACCCATGACATTTAGGCCCTAAACGGTGAATTAAACAGTTGGACCGTTTGAACAGTTAAAAACTGTCTAAGCTATTTAAATTGAATCATGTTAAATGAGATTAAATGAGCTAAATGATCATTTAGTCCATAATTTAGTTGATAGAAGGATTACAACTACCACCATTAACAATGAATTAATTAACATTGTAAGTATATGAGGTGGCGTGGGATTTAGATTTCTTCTAAACGTAGTATTATGTAGAATACTTATTCTTTTAATGTACAAATATGAACACTAGCTTTCTAGTATATTTGACTTTTACATGCATAAATATATATATATATATATATATTAGTGTTACTATATAAAACCATTTAAAGCCGTTTAACTCCATCTAAACATCATCTAGAAACCATAGTTCCATGTCCGGTACTCAAACTTGGCGTGAGGTGTCATGTAAGTCCCTGTACTTCCAAAATGGTATTTTCAGGTTGCTAA